GCACTTGGCCTTGTTGAACCTCATACAGTTGGCCTCGGCCCATTGATCCAGCCTGTCCAGGTCCCTCTGCAGAGCCTTCCTACCCTCGAGCGGATCAACACTCTGCTCTGATCAAGAAGATCGCTGGATTTCTGTTGTGGCATAATTGCAGCATTTGTATAGAATTTCCTTCATCCAGGGGAAGTCCCTGCAAATAAAGCTTGGCTTAGTGGATCTGAGATCACTTCAAAACTTGCAAAAGGTAGAATAGGACAGTGATTTTTATCATTTGACATATCCTTGCTTCTGTCTCTGCTAATGTTCGGTTTGTTAGATAAAATCAATTCAAAGGTAAATTTGGAAAAAAAAAAAAAGGTACTATAGAACTGAGCTAAAGCAAAAGATAAAAATGATGGAGGTTCTTGTCTGCCCCTGTTTATCTAGATGATATTTTAAAATTGAATTAGAGTTTTGTACATGGAAATAAACAAGGGACTGATTAAATATATTAGGATTGGCTTTGTTTTGCCTAATGGTAATGAATGGAGAAACGATTAATTGTCCTTGTTATTTATTTAAAAAAAGAAAAAAAGGCCATATACTGGTCAGTCATCATGAACCATTTCCCAGGTACTGTAATACTAGGTGACTGGTTCAGTTAGGACATGTTGTCATTCTTGTAGATAATAGCTCAAGGACTAAGCTAACATAAAAACATCTTGATCACAGTGGTTTCCTTGGTGTTGGTGTAGTAATAGATACAGTTTCATGTATTCAGAGGGTCAAGACCTCTTCCCTTTTTAATGGAGAAATACCATGTGTTAAAACTACAGTATCTTTTCCTCTGAAGAAACTACTAAGGACAGTTTCAACTTGCTATATGGCCTGAGGAACAACTGAGGATCTCGAGCTTTTTTTTTTTTCCTGGCAGTCAGAAGCAGAGGGCCTCTGCTCTACTACAGTCTCTGTGTAGAACAGTCTGCTCTCTTAGCTTTTAAACTCATACAAAAAGAGTGCCTGATTCATGTACAGAGCAGCGTGAAAATCACACGTCCCCTCTGAGCTCAGTGGTCAGTGTGAATCAGTTGAGATTTGATGGGAGTGAACCACCGGCTGAGCAAACTGGGTTGTGTAAAGTGTAAAACTCTCTGTAAGTCTCACTTTTCTTTCTTTATAGGTCAACGGCACGGATGCAGACTATGAGTATGAAGAAATTACTCTTGAAAGGGTAACATGCTAAATGTCTTTCTGTACTCTGTTTTAAATGGGATTTATGATATTTCGATATGGAATAATTAACCTCTTGATACTGCTAAATGGCAATCGAAAACAATCCTTACTGTTTTGTTTGGTGGTGGTTTTTTTTTTTTTCTTTCGGTAGATTATTTAACCTAAAGAAAAAAAATATACCTAGTTGCTGGGGCAGGAATAGAATTTTTTATTAATATCCTTGACCATTAATAGTAAAATGGGGGAAGGATCTCCCTGAGAGATACTGCATTTAATGTTATTATCTAGGCTTATAGAGAGTAATAACACAAACTGATTTAATTTCCTATATTGCCATTCATGATAGGCTTTTATTTATACCATTAAGTTTTATTTTGAGATTCAGGCTTCCAGCTGAGGTTACAAGTGACACCTTGTCATATGCATTGCTTTGTTAGGTGTACGATGTAGAGATCTATCTCAGTTCCCTTTTCTTGAGCTGCACTGTTAACAAAAAGAAAGAAAGAAATGGTTGTATTTGATACCTGTGCAGTTCTGGTGGTTACTGAGAGGGTGAAAAGGTCTTGCAGTTGATAGTAAAGGCAGGCAACCTTTGAAGAGAAAATGTCAGTCTGAGTCTCTGCATCTGTGAGGATATATTACATATGTGACACAAATTACCTGGGGGCTTCTCTGGGAAAAATAATTTGTCACTAATAATTTAATGAGGTGCAAATATTTGTATGAATAATCTGAAAGATCTAGCTCAGTAGAGAGGGAAGTTTTTATCTAGTTTATCAAGTCTACTTCAATAAGAAAGCTGTGGGGTTGGAACTGTATCTCGTACAGTTACACAATGACTTACGTTCTCCTTCTATGAAAATAAGTATAATTACATCTTACATATGGTTATATGTAGTATACTGCTTAAAGTGTCTTAATATTTTTTTAATCAGTGAAAATTATATAGATTTGGTTTTATATTGAATCAAATAGATTGCTAGAGTAGCTTTTCCCCAAAAAAGAAATGTGTAAAAATTTTTTTCCCCTTTACTTTTAGGGAAATTCAGGACTTGGCTTTAGCATTGCAGGTGGTACAGACAACCCACACATTGGGGATGATTCAAGTATTTTCATTACAAAAATTATAGCCGGGGGTGCAGCTGCACAGGATGGAAGATTACGGTATGATGACTTTGTGTTGGGTTGCTAAATGTTTCTTATATTTTCAAACAGTGGATAGAACACTTTCTGTTACTTTTAGTAGTTTTATCATGCTACATTACATTTTAAACAAGTTTTTCTTACAGAAGTATTTTGTAAATAATGAAAAAAGTTTGAGTGGACCAATTTTTTTTCCCAACCAATAAAATCTGCAGTTAAGTGAAATCAAGTGGACTTTATCTTTTCTATTCGGTGGTGTAAATTGATTATGCCATATGTTCTATAATCCTTAATTCAATATACAAAGGAAAAGCTTAGACAGGTAGGATAGGTAACTCTTGGTTATCCACGTGCAGATTTTCTGATTGTAAGATAGTTGAACTTAATAAAAACCTTCTTTTTATGCTTGGTATAATTCTGTGTCTTAATTTTTCAAGATACTACACACCTTCAAAAGCCATATTTTTTGTTTAAATTAATAAAGTACTCCTTCTCCAGTACACCTCATTTTCTTATTTAATTGTGGACTGATACTACTACTTAACTCCTAGTGAGGAAATGTTGGCATATTATTAGATGGTAGCAAGTGATGTTTGCAACTTCCTTTGAAGACTACTGTTAGAAGTTAATAACAAATTGCATTAATGAATTCTTTTTCTAATCTGTAACGGTATAGTCCTGTATCACTTTGCGGGGAAAAAAACACATCTGATTGTGGGACCAGCTTTTTTTCTCTTGTGTTGTTAAGAGCTTGCCCTATCATTTTTGCTGCAAATGCCTGATGCCTTATGGTTTTTAGTCCTAATGAGCTTATTTCAAGGCTTCATTTTAGCTTGTTGGCCATTGTCAGAGGTACCTTCTGGCAGAACATGGTGACAGGTGGGTTGGACATTGTACTTAGTGTAATGAGAGCTCAGTGTTACTACAGCAACATGTTAAATGGCATGGAAGGCCAGCACTTAAACAGCTTGTGAAAAGCAGGAATGGAGGTTGACTTGTTCACATCATGGCTTAAAACTTGCGTGTTCTCATTGTCTGCCTCCTAGTTTCTGAATTTTTTAATTCTTTCTTATAGCCCTAAACAAAAGGTAGTTTGTACAAAGCTCTGTTCAAAATACTTTTAAAATGAAACACATATAAGATGGTGTCCTCTTCAGCTGTGAACAAAATATTCTCTTTAAATGTTTTCTAGTGATCCTTGTTTTATTTTTAAGTACTAATAATTAATTTTAGAGCATTGTCTTGAATCAATATAATTTTGAAGCAAAATCTATGTATCTTAACGTGTTAACATGTATGTTAGTGAATTGTAGATAAAATACTAGGCTCCTAATGTGTCTGCTCTGCTGTAACGTAACTGCTCAACATGAATGTTGCTGTCTCTAGGGTTAACGATTGTATTCTACGAGTAAATGAGGTGGATGTTCGTGATGTGACACACAGCAAAGCAGTCGAAGCACTGAAAGAAGCGGGATCAATTGTACGGTTGTATGTCAAAAGAAGAAAACCAGTCACAGAAAAAATAGTGGAAATCAAACTTGTAAAAGGCCCTAAAGGTATGTAGGAAGTATAAAACTTCTGTTTCACAAGAAGGATAGAGGTGACAATAGTTTCTGCCCCTTTTTTTTTTTTTTTTTTTTTTAAATAAAATAGTATCTTGCACGTGAAGTTCTAGGAAAAGCAGAATAATGAAAAATAAGATAATGGCATCTCAAATGCTTCTGAATTTTCATCCCTGTGTCTTGAAACTGTTCTTGTAGAATGTGTATTTTTCTTTCAAATGATAAAAGTGTGTTTCTGATAGTATTTAGTAATTTTTAAGTATATTACAAATGGGAGTAAAGTAGTTCATTGAATTACCTAGAAAGATCTTTGAGAGATTAAGAAACATTTAGCAAAAGTATTATTTTGTTTCTATATGGGGAAATGTTGGACAATGGTTCTTTAAATATCAGTGGTGATGCTATAACTGTGCTGTGTGCAACTTTCACAAGGCGTGAAAAAAAATTATTTAGCTTTTGATTTTTCAGAACTTCTGTAAATGTTACATCTTTTCCAGAACTTTCTGGAAAATTGTGGAGTTCACTTGGAAAGGCGTCCAATATTGCTTCAACCGGAGCCTAATATTTTTATATGTATGTGTCTATGTGATACAGATAGCATTATTATTTATATAATAATTTGAATGTCATGAATGCTGAAAGGTTTCTTGAGTAATGACTTTACCTTTAAGCAGGTCTTGGTTTCAGTATTGCTGGTGGTCTAGGAAATCAGCATATACCTGGAGACAACAGCATCTATGTAACCAAAATCATTGAAGGTGGGGCAGCACATAAAGATGGCAAACTTCAGATTGGTGACAAACTTTTAGCTGTAAGTAAGACCTTTTTTTTTTTTTTTTTTTTTTTTTTTTTT